TACTTTTAAGCAGGAAACATTATATTTGACTTTTTAGAACTATATTACCATCATACGTGGACTAAGAGGGTGTTTGGCTAAGGTTATAGGCTGGTCAAACTAGCTTATAAATATTTTTCGGCTTATCTACGCGTTTGGTAAAGTAAAAGTACTTATAAGTAAAAAATAAGCCAAAAGCTATAAGCTAGCCGCCCGCAACTTAGAGCCCGTTTGAATTAGCTATTTTGAAGTAGCTGATAAGCATTAGGTGCTGAAAGCACTTTTAAGTGCTGAAACTGATTTAATAATAAGTAGTTACGTGTTTGAGTACAAGTGCTGAAATTGATAATAAGTTGTTGTAGTATTTGATAAAAAAGTGCTGATAAGCTCTTTTTCTGTTAAAATGACTTAAATAACCTTAGAACTATTTACACTATAAGGGCATAATTTATTTAAAATTTTAGATTCCAGATCGATTCAAATACAAAATATTTTATTTGTCATTTTATTTTAAATACTACTGTGCTTAGATAAGATAATTTTTATAATAAATATAATTTATTTTATGATAAGCATATAACCATAAGTTATAAAAATTAATAAATTGACAAGAGTTTCTCAATAAAAAATAAACCTAAATAGGATAAATTACTTGAAGAGAAACAAACATTGTCTTCATCACCACAAGACTTAGAAAGTAATACACCAAATATTTGATATGTTCTCATTTATTACATATTGTTCAAAGATTAATACACAATCATATAGATATAAGTATGCAAAGGAATAGAGAATTTGCTTATCTTAAATAGTCAATGAGAATTACAGACCTAAAGAGGTGGGTGGGTGAGGGGGGGGGGGGAGGGAAAGGAGGGGAGGTTTAGGTTGAATACTTGAGGCGGTGAGTATCGATGTAGGAGTTTTGTTCTAAAAAGAAATATTTTAAGGATAAAATAGTAAAAATCTTGGTCAAACTTAAAGTGTTTATAAGCTAAAAATTCATAAGCTGAGGGTGATCAGCTTATGACTTTTGGCTTATTTTTAACTTGTAAGCACTTTTAACTTTACCAAACTCGTAGATAAGCTGAAAAGTGCTAATAAGCCAGCTTATAAGCTTAGCCAAACACCCTCTTATGAATTTTTAGCTTATAAGCACTTTAAGTTTGACCAAAATTTTTACTATTTTATCCTTAAAATATTCTTTTTTAAAACAAAACTCTTACATCCTCAAGTATTGTTTCACCCCCCCCCCCCTTCCCCCACAAAGATTTTTGCTATTTTATTCTTAAAATATTCTTTTTTAGAACAAAACTCTTACATCGATATTCACTGCCTCAAGTATTGTTTCAACCCCCCTCCCCTTCCCGCCTCTTCAAGTTTGCAATTCTCATTGACTATTTAAGATGAGCAAATTCTCTATTCCTTTGCATATTTGTATGTATGTGATTGTATATTAATCTTTGAACTGTATGTAATAAATGAGGACATATAAATTTTTTGGTGTATTGCTTTCTAAGAGTTTTGGTGATGAAGACAATGTTTGTTTCTCTTCAAATATTTTGTCCTATATTAGGTTTATTTTTTACTGAGAAACTTTTGTCAATTTATTAATTATTGTAACTTATGATTATATGCTTATCATAAAATAAATTTTATTTATCATAAAAGTTAATCTTATCTAAGCACAATTGTATTTAAAATAAAATGACAAATATAATATTTTGTATTTGAATCGATCTGGAATCTAAACTTTTGAAGAAATTACGCCCTTACAAGTGTAAACAATTCTAAGGTTATTTAAGTCATTTTAACCGAAAAAGAGCTTATCAACACTTTTTTTATCAAATACTGCAACAACTTATTATCAATTTCAGCACTTGTATCCAAACACGTAAGTGCTTAAGCACTTAAAAGTGCTTTTCAGCATATATTGCTTATCAACTACTTCAAATCAGCTAATCCAAACGGGCTCTAACAACATATGCTTAACACAAAATAAGGGTAATCAAGTGGCAAAACAATTAGTAATAATTATGGCAAATTTGTGAATATTTACAAGCAAAGAGATCAAAAGAACACATTTCAATTGATTGAAGGTTAAATATGCTCAATCAAATATCACAAGGTTCAAACAAAAATTAATCAATAATTGAGGGACCAAAGTGCTATTAACCCTAATAGTTCAGTTGATATATTTATCTACGACGAGTCCAATTCTGTTGATTTTTTAAAGAACCCACCTTTCAAGTTGTGTTCCTTGTTATTATTACTAGTCTTTGGGTACGCGGTTGCGCGTGTATTATGTATCAATAATAATATTTTTTTTTAAATTATATGAATAATATCCAAAATATGCGTTTGCGTTATAAAATAAAACTTACTGAAAAATTGTGTCTTCCTAAAACTGATAAATATTAATCATTTTTAGGAATTCGGGTAGAGTGGTTCTTACTTCAGTTTATTTCGATGCTTCATCATACAAAAAAATTATATAAGCGGTCTCTGATTGAAATATAAAAAGAACTACTAGCTTTACATCCACTTGGATATGTGCATTGCGCACACATATATTTAATGTTAATTATTATAAAATATTTGTATGATGTTTTATTAAAAAATTCTCTCCCCACATATTATTCAATTTATGAGAGTGCTAAAACTCTTAACTTTATCCCATAAATGTCTTCGCATCACATGAGGCATCCAAATTCGACAAATACATACAAACAATCCTTCAAAAAAATTAATTTGATTGTATCTTATTCTACCTAGAAATTTCTTTCTAAACTACTTTATCTATGCGTGACGATTACATAAATACATCATTTCTTATACCTATGTAATGAGATTAACAGTCTTATTAAAAATAACTTTTTTCATCTTTTCTATGTATAAAGTGGGTACTAAGACTTTACTGGTTAGATTGACTAAATTAGATAAAAATAGACTCTTGAAATATGTTATTTATCTAGAGATGTCAAAACAGCCAGCCCAGCCCAGCCCAAGCCTCGTGGGCTTTTAAATTTGGCGGGTTTGGACGGGCCGGGCCGCCATATGAATGGGCCTTAAAATGGCCAGCCCAACCCAGCCAATAAGAGGGCCGCGGGCTAGGGCGGGCCGGCCCTTTAATTTTTCTTTTTTTAAAAAAAGAATTTTCTTTATATCCTTAAATATTTTTTCGTGACATAGTCGATTAATCATGTAAACAACTTCTATTTGCTTAGAGCGTACAAAAGGTTGAAATTTGACGAGGAATCTCGTAATTGAAATGCAAATTCTCTATATCTCTTGCTCTTCTTTTTTAAAGTTACATGAATATTTTCTTAATTTTATTTTCCTCAGATTCAGGGATTATTTTAATAAATTTATATGCTGAGGTTTTTTAATGTAGGATTAACATCATTTATTGATTTCATCATTATAGTCCATAAAATTTTTAAAATTCTTAAAATTTGTTAGTGGTCTTTTTTTTTGTGTATATATAAAACTGATCTTTATTTATAATAGAGTAGTTTAGATATTAATAATATATTAAAGTAATCCAAATTGATCATTGGACACTTAAAGTACTATTTTCTTTTGAAAAAGATTTTATTGGCTACCTAAGACTTTTCGAGTTAGTTATTAATTAAGCAAAAGAAAAACTAATTTTGTCATATTATATGCATGTCAAAAATCTAAATTCTAGTTGATATGGAAAGCAAATGAGCAATTTAGGGTTGGGGAATGGGGATTATAGTTAATAGTTTTTTTAGTTTTTATTTTTTTAAAATATTAAATATTTAACGGTAATTAATTTGAATCTAATTAATTTTTGGCCCACGGGCCGGGCAGGGCCCAGCCTCGATCAAGCCTCAAGGGCCAATGGGCTGACTTGGGCAGGCTTATAAGCCTCAATTTTAAATAGGCTCAAAAAATCCTAGCCCAGCCCTACCCAAGTAACGGGTTGGGTTGGGCTGGCCTCACGGGCCAAGCCCATTTTGACGGCTATGATTATAGTTAGGGGTGTCAGTGGATCTTCAAAAACCGACTAAACCGACCAAACCGAAACATACTGAACCGACTATAAGGTTTCTTTTAATGAAATAATATATATATATATATATATATATATATATATATATATATATATATNCCAAATCGAAACATATTGAACCGACTATAAGATTTCTTTTAATGAAATCGTAGATGTTTATATATATATATATATATATATACTAAGACATAACCAATAAAAAGTCAAAGAGCAAGTAATTTTTCTTGGATAAATATTTTGTCTCTTTACTCTCAACTCAAAGATCTTTGAATTCAAAGGTTTCAAGATTTTTTCTGAACCCTCAAAATCAAATGATTTGAGTTGGCTTCAACTTTCGTCTAGCAACACATCTATCCCTGAATTAATTATCAAAACTTCTACAAATTTAGACTTCATATCTTTTGAATTCAATAATATCCAAAACAAAAGGAAAAAATATATAAATAAATTGAGTAGAACAACGACAAGCATATCAAGTAACGTATCAAACAAAAACACACTCTACGGAAACAAAAAGCAAGGCAAAGAGAGAGACCAAAAATTGCCTATGTGATTGTGGTTGCTTGTTATGGGGGAAGGCAAAAGAGTTTCGAAAGAAATTTTGTCCATAATAAAATTAAATGGGGATATTAACTGGTGACACTTAAAGACTATAATGTGATATTATATAGAAATTTTAGTAAAAAAATTCTAGTTCTACAGCATTAATTGCTGTGCAAATTTTGGAAGAAGAATCCTAAATCTAAAGTGAGCGTAATTGCTTGGATACTATTTGTTAGCTATATTGATTAAAGTTGCCCGTGTATTATGTGTTTGGCACAATTTTGGTAAAGAATCCTAAGTCTGAATTGACATTAATTCCTGGTTCAATTTCGATAATTAGATTTACTATATTTACATATTACAATTTTATCCCACATAAAATATACTTATAAAGGGCAAAAAAGGGAACAACCTTTCCCTAAGGGCCTTTAATAATAATAACAAAGAGAGTTAAATTAAACATTAGGGTTTTGTTCTCTTCACACCAGTTCTTCCCCTTTCAGCAGTCAGTCACCAGTCAGCACAGCCGCAGCTCTTGTTCGACTTTCAGGTACTGGTTTCTTTTCTTTCTTTTTCTTTTTCCGGCGTCTTCTCCGGCAGCAAGTCATTCTTTCTTTCCTTTTTCTTCTTCCGCCAGTGAAACTTCCTTGTTCTTCTTCTTTCCGGCAGCAACTGATTTCCGGCATAACTGCTCTTTCTTTGTTTTCTTTCACCTATGTTTTCTCTCTTTACTAGTCGTCTTTCTTCTTCTGTTTCTATCTTTTATTTTATACTGTTTCTTCTTCAGTTTTTGTATACAAGTAATTGCATATTAACTTCTCTCTATAATTACAATTACAGTTAGTTGTTCTTTTCTCTCTTTAATTACAATTAATTTCTCTCTTAAACAGTATATGCAATGAAATATTTGCTAATATGTTACTATTACTTTTCAGTTTTTGGTTATTTATATATGCAGATTTAATATTTTAATTTTTTTGTATTAATTGGCACTTCACTGTTCGCTTCCTATTCATATGGTTTTGTTGGCTTGCATTCTCAAATGGATTAGCTGTTTTCCTATTTCTATACTTTTTGATGTTTGGATATTCACTATTCCAACCCATTTTCTGACAATCAGAATCTAATTCAAATGCAGCACATCTTTGGCGTTCTGTTGTACATATAGGAGATCATCAAGTGGGTTGATTTGCAGGCTACTTTCTCCGCTTGAGTTTAACTGAAAAGATTTAGCCAATGCAGTCAAACAACAAAGATCTGCTTCATTTGGAGGCTGAAGCCTCGCCCTTGGAATCAAAACTTCTCTTCTGCAATAGAGATTGCGGAATTCAATCCCAAAATTTGAAACCTGAACTTTCTGATAAGAAGCCTGACATTTCTTCTGTACCCAAAAGCCAAGTTCTATCAAAGATCAAGGATTTCTTGGGAGTCCTTTCTGAAGATAATAAAAACCTGGAGCTTGCTGCTAAGAACAATCCTCAGAAATACGATATTGAAGCTCTTACCGGGGAAGAATCTGAATACATAGAGATGGACTTAATGTTGGGTGTCGCGGAGCTTCACACACAGGAGGCTGTGTCAGCTGCTGAATCCGCAATAGCAGGTTACCAACCCGTAATCAATCTGGCCACCAGTGATAATGATACAGAATCTGAAGACAGAAGTGATGAGGATGAAATTTCTGAAAGCAGCAGTGGTGAAAGTTCTGATGATGATGGAGCTTCTGCTGTGAAGGATTCTTCTAAGAAAGCAGTGAAGAGGAAGCGACAGTCAGAAAACCGAGCTAATATAGTTGAGCTATCTTAGGCTAATTGGAGCTGTTATTTGTGAGAAATTCAGAAGATAGTAGCAAGTGTGCTTCTCTACAATGCTCCTATAAATCTTGTTGGTACATTTGAGGTTGCTTCAGTTCTATCCTCTATCACTCGAAATGATAGTTTTGTTTCACATCAATATATAAGAGGTTGATGTCTTTTGACTATGTTAAATGTGCTTATCATCAGTTTTGCTCCTATTCAAACACATAATTACTTATTTATAAAGAGTTTAAGTTGTGTACACTGTATTTTATGCTTGTTAGCCGCTTTCAATCAATTAATCTTAATTAGAAATCACAAGCAAATTCCTTTAATTCGACAACTTTGCTTGTGGACTTGGGCTTAAGCATAACAAAAATCTATTCAGGCAATAGGTGCCATTTAGAGACTCGAATAAAAAGGAAATGGAACTTGGGGCATTTATGCACTAAACATACCAACTGCCTTGCGTTTGAGTAGGCCACCACGGTTCTCTTGGAATAGGTCATGCTCAGCTGGTTTTGAAGGTCATAATACAGCAAAAAGACTAGCCTTTAAAAGGTTGAATTTTAATTAAGCACAAAAATTTTAAGCCCTATTCGCATCTGAACCTACTGATTGTACACCACGATAAGGTTCACTTCATAGTAGTTGAAACACATATTCTCTTATATTAGAAGCGACACTTGACCAGCTTGACCAGCCTGTTTCATCAACACGCCTGATTGGGACTTTTCTGATATCCATGTGTTCCGCTCTCACTTCCTCCTGTTAAAACACTAGGAGCCTCTGAAAAAATCCACTGTTTAATTCAAAAGCTCGGTCGAATGGGGACTGAGAAGACAAGGGCGAAGATGAGGGAACGGTTATAATGAATAAGGAGAAGCAGAAATTAGCCAATTTTTCGAATGACAATAGAGAAGACCAGGGGTAAACTGAGGGCGAAGAAGACAGTGGTTATAAAGAACAAGGAGAAGAGGAAGGTGGGGTATTAAGAAGTAGTGAATATGTGTGTCAAGAGTGAGAGGGACAATGAGGGAGAAGATGATGAAGTAGTGGTTGTGAAGCATAATAAGAAGAAGAAGGAGAAGAAGAGGAGGAAGGTGGGTAGTTCGGAGCTGGCAAATTTGGGAGTGGATGATAGTGTTATGTTGAATGAGTTTTGTTTGAGAGAAACTCGAAATAGTGCTTTGTAAAAATAAAATTGATACCGATCACAGTAATAATGACTGTGAAGATTCTAACTTTAGGGGTAACAACATTACAAGTTTGAAAACCAAGCTTTATGGAGGAATGTGATCACCCAGAAATATGGACAACTGAACATTGGTGTACAAATCCTGTAAGGACAGCTTATGGGGTTAGCAACTGGAGGGTAATTAAAAACCAGTGGGAGGTATTTGCAGTAAATATAGGGTTCATTATTGGAAACGGCAGGAAAGTATCATTCTGGGATGACAACTGGCTGGGACACGGGCCACTTAGAGACAACTTCCCGGTCTACATAGTCTGGTGGTAGAACCTGAATCAACAATACAGGAAGTTTGGAGTCAACAGGTATGGAATCTTAACTTCAGAAGAGCACTAAATGATTGTGAGATTGTAAGAGTGACTGAATTTTTCAATGCTCTGGAGGTTTTCAAAGGAACATCTGAAGCAGAGGACTCTATCATCTGGAAAGGGAACAACGACAAGTGTTTCTCAGTCAAGGGGGCTTACAAGCTTCTATGCAATCCTGGACAACAACAATGCTTCTAGCCTTGGAAACTTATCTGGAAAGTAAAAGTTCATTTTAAAGTATCCTGTTTTACATGGCTAGTAGCCAAGAAGGCCTGTCGTACCCATGAGAATCTGCAAAGAAGAGGACTACTATTGAGCTCTAGATGTTTCTATGCCAAGCGGAGCAAGAAGACAACAGCCACCTTTTTCTACATTGTGTTACTACATCTCAGTTGTGGCAGTTACTCCTTGCATTGGTGAATACAACTTGGGTTATGCCCAGGACTACTTGTGATCTTTTGAGGTGCTGGAACAATGTAGGTGGCTGGGGAAGGAAGAAGAGATGGTGGAGGGCTATACCAGCATGCATTTGGTGGAATGTCTGGAAGGAAAGAAATGATAGGTGCTTTGAGGATAGGAGGAGTTCTTTACAGAAAATTAAGCTCAACTGTATTTTGTCCTTTTATTTTTGGTGTAAAGAATTTTGCTTAGATGAAACTGAGACTTTATTAGAGTTGTTAGAGTCCTTGTAAGAAGAATCTTGGACAAATGTAAATAGGTCTCTTCCTTTTTTTGTAATTGTGATTTCCAACACAAGCTTTGTGTTGATGAATATACTGTTACCTTTATCAAAATAAAATAAAATAAAGAAGCGAAAAGACAATTCTGTTTTGGAGAATCACTTGAGTAGCAAAAGCTCAGGGTCAATTCGCACCAAGAAATAGGTTTGGTACCTTTTTTTCCCTTGTTCAATTTTATGCTTCGTATGTATGTGTTATCATATATAAAAGTGTTGTGGTGTTTACAGGTTGAGTTTTGAAGGAGTTGATCCCAAGAAATTTATCGGACTACAATGTAAGGTGTGAATTGATCAAACTTAGAATGATTAGAATGTGCTGTGTACTTTTGTTATTATCAGTTTAAGAGACTAATTGTAGAGTCTCTGTTGATAGGTGTATTGGCCATTAGATGTTGATTGGTACTCTGGTGGTGTAATTGGGTACAACTCTGAGACTGGACAGCATTATGTAATTGGTTTCCTGGCTCACCATTTCACCCTGTTTGCAGCTACCAAGTTCAATTACTTTGAAGTTCTATCATTATTTTGAAGACTTCACTGCCTATACTTCCTCTTGCTTTTCAAAATACCTGCTGCTTCTCCGATCGATCCTGGAATTGTACGTACCTTTCACTTGACCTTACAATTTTGTGTTTTATTTTGCATTTCTTTGTGTTGCCGTTGAATTTGTAAGACCTATTTAGGGAAAATTTAGTAGCACTTTTATTTTAATATAAAACGTAAAGAGAGAAAAAATGACAGCCTTCCAGAAATGTGATTGAAGAGAAAAAAACAAAAAAATTAACTCTCGTGTCTAGGATGTTTTTCTTTCTCACCATGGTCAATTTTGAAACCTTAAACTAGTTTGCATGTATCTTTGCTTAGTTTTTTATATAAAACAAAATGTATTTTCGTTCGTATAAGCATGGATTTTGAATAGCAAAATCAAAATTTTCTCGGTTCACATTGTTTCATATTATCTTTAGTTGTTAGCATTTCTTTTGATATAGTTTGTTTGTATATGTATGATCTGTGATTTTTTTTCAAATGAATGGGAAAGAAAGGTTGTGGGGAAGGGATGAAAATGGGAGTGTAATGGTGAGGTGGCAATGAAATGTTGTCATAGGGAGGCAGTTAACGGAGGAAGGGTAGGTTTGTACCACTTTTATGATTCAGAGATATATTTGGACCGATAGTATGACGTTAGGGATATATTTGGACTGATAGTATAACGGAGGGCAATATTAAACCTTTTTCAATAGTATAGGGCCATATTTGACCCTTTTCCGATTATTTAATAATAATGAAGGGTGAGAATGAGAGAAAAAGACAAGGAAACGACGTAACCACACCAAATCGGTCGTTACACAAAGTGGCACATTTCATCATTACGTAACGACAGATTTAACGATACGATACAATAAAATTTAAGTAATAATCAAAACAAACATTGTATTTTAAGTAACAATACGATACGATACAATAGGTAACAACCATCAAAACAAGCTGTAAGAGTAACAGGGTGTTCGTTTCAGTGTATGTTTGGGATGAAAATTTCATTTTGGTTGGTTGGTTGGTTGAAATATTTTAAAAAATATAATTCTTATGCCTTTTTAAGAGAAAAAGTATTTTTCAAAATTCACTTTTAACCTTTCCACTCCCACCCTTTGTCACGACTCAATTCTACGTTACCCGCACTTGGCACACTATGTGACCCGAACGAACCAAATCATATGATGCACTGAAATTATATATATAAAAACCAATTTAATTTCGGAAGCTCTTTGAAAATTATATATATTTTCAAGTTAAATGATAGAATATTTTTCCAATTCAACAATACATGAAATTGTATTGGGGAAAATTGTATTTTATATATATGGTGACGTGTCAGGACACGTGGATTGGTCAAATGGTCAATGAATCACAATTAGACACGATTCAAGAATTGTAAAACAGACACGAGCAAAGAAGGAGGAAGAGGCACGGGACATCAGATAAGTAGCACGACGCCCGTACCTATTTAAATCATTTATATCTGGGCATCAGAAGGAATGAATCTGGTTGTATAAAAGAGTGCAGATACAGCATTTAATGAGTATTAAATGCTGAGTCCGTTAAGGGATATATATATATTCAATGTAATGATTGTGTAACGTAGCATTCAATGTCTTTAATTATTCATAATAGCCTCATTATGATTTAGGCATAACGTACATTCTCAAAGGTACCTATAAAAAGGAGATATATGATCAGTTGTAGGACACACGAAAAGCTATTGAAATATACATTGGTATCATTTGTTTTTCTTGATTATTATATTGATACTCAGAATTATTTCCTTTTATTCATTTCCTTGATTATCAGTAACCCGAGTTCTTCTAAATTCTAGCTTTGACTAAAATTCTATTTTTTGGTTAAACAAATTGGTTCCGTTACCGGGAATCTGATAATCTATTTCCTCTTTGCTTAACTTTCCTTGTTACATCAACTATGACAAATAACAATGATAACACTCAAGGAAACCAAGAAAATCAAACAAATCAACAACTTCAGGGAGATCTGCAGGATAATAACGCATTAGTTCCTTCTCCACAAGGTTCTCCACGACGGTCTCGTGAAGGCACTCCTGAGGGGTCTCATACAGATGGACAAGCTCAATTCGAAAATGTGGAGGCTATGGATGAAGCTTTACAAAAACTTATCGCCACACAAGTCAATAAAGCTCTTCAAGCTTTTGTCAGTCAACTACCTGTTGCTCCACCCACATCTACTCCAAATAACAATACTCTGGAGAACCCTCGCTCTGGGCTAATTAATTCAGGTAGCGGAGGAACCCCAGCGAGACACAGGAAGGAGAACCAGTTTGGAACTAATGACTTCTGGAATATGTAATTGTCACTGTATTTTCTAAAGTCTACGCAGCGAATATATAGTAAAAATATACCTTTTAGAGTTCGAAAAAGAGAACAGATAAATTACCT